TTTAATTCATTCAGGAACAGTGATAGCGATCAGTCATTTCAAGCTAGAATACTCGTAATATGTCGAGTTAAATCGCCTGCTTCTGTAAAAACTGATTGGAGTGTCGCATGCAGACGGCGAGGTTCAATAATCAAAAGCGAAAGCTTCTTTGTATCCAAAGGGAATATTTGTGACCATCCACGGGAAAAGAGAGAATAAGGTGATGACACGGCACGCTAAGCGTGTCACCAATTTCATGGATATCCGCATATTTAATGAGCAAAACAAAGACTGGCACGGCAGCTTTTGTGTGGCATGCTTAAGCCTTTGTCTCAACTTGTGTGCTCGGTGTCACGCTTCAAGTGCGATATGACACACGTGCGAAAAGACGTACGTGCGATATGGCACGCGTGTCCTTCGGATAAGTGTAACAAAAATCACAGACAACGAAATGATGTACAGCAAATTTGGGTGCCAATTTTTCACTTCCCCTTTTTTTTCCGGCTGAACTAAGAATTGATTAAGACAGGGTAGTCATAAGCTTCAGTGAAATCTAATGGCTTGTTTCTTCTTGATAAAAAGGCAAATAACCATATTTTGCAAATAACCACATTTTGTCTAAGCAGAAATTGGGGCTTTATTGTAGTTTGCCATCGGTTGGTCAAAAGCGTTTCCACAGTCACGGTTCGAGAAACCATAGTTTAATGTAGCGAAAGCCATTACGTTGACAGTTAAATGAAGTAAAGTATACCTTACTTAAATCTGAAACTCATAATTATGTTTTAAAACGATATCTATAAACTGATAGAGTCTTACTTACTTTCAATCATTTGAATTCATATCTTGAACATTAGGGTGCCAGGATCAATTAAGAACGGCTGTTTCAATTCGGAATGGTTGAAGAAGGAATCTCGACTTTGCCGTAGGCTTCCTAATTTGGCCATGATTGAGACGCCTAACTTACTACATGTCGAGGTTTATGCGTAAATTTTGCTATTATATTTTCTCTACGTTCACTGAAAATCATGGAATTGAATTACCAACAGCTGTAGGACGGTACACTGTGTTCGATGTCAAAAGCAACGCCTGTATTTTTGATGATTTTAGATATTTGAAATTCATATATTTGCACTGCGGTGAAGAAACTAAAAATTAAGAGATCCTTGCAGCTAAGAACACTACTGAACTAGTGGTTGAAAATAGGACCTGAAAAAATTCAGGCCCGCACGAGATTTGAACCCATGACCTCTGCGATACAGGTGTAGCGCTCTACCAACTGAGTTAACAAGCCAACTGGGAGCTGGTCAATGTGTTGGGTCCAAATAAACCATCCAAGTGATGAATGATGATTTTAGATATATGAAATTCATATACTTGCACTGCAGCGAAGAAACGAAATTAAGAGATCCTCGCAGCTAAAAACACTAGGTCCTATTTTCAACTACTAGTTAAGTGGTGTTCTTAGCTGCCAGGATCTCTTAATTTCGTTTCTTCACCGCAGTGCAAATATATGAATTTCGTATGTCTAAAATCATCATTTATCACTTGGATAGTTTATTTGAACCCAACACATTAACCAGCACCCAGTTGGCATGTTAGCTCAGTTGGTAGAGCGCTGAACGGTATTGCAGAGGTCCTATTTCAGGTCCTATTTTCAACTACTAGTTCAGTAGTGTTCTTAGCTGCGTGGATCTCTCAATTTCGTTTCGGCCCGTATTTTTTTTAACTTGGATCGGTTCAAATTCGAAGTTCTGTCGGTTTCCTTAAAAGTTAAGCATCTGAGACGAGGATAAAATATTAAAAGCAATAATAAAAAGATTAAACGAACCAAAGGAATTAATCAAAGAGCTCTGTGAGCAAACTCGTGAATTGACAGATGACTTACATGATTTTTTGGACTACGTCTAATGTTATCTGGTTTAGGGAATTTTGTGGTTGATTGTCATATTTAGAGTACGAGTAGTGGTTTAGTGTTCACTAATGTAGCAAAGAAACAAAGAAACGTTAGGATAAGAAGGCATTACAATTGAAATGATCATGCTATTACATTTGACCAGGGTGGATGATGTCATGTGTTTTAAACATATATCATTTTTGTTTCTGGTTCAAAAGAAAAGGTTGGAAGTAAATGTGGGTGGAAAGTGAAATTTACTGTTTGTCACTGGAAAATCAAGGATATATTGTCTTAATGAAAACATTAATGTTTCCCTCTTTATCAAATGAGAAACACGGGAACGACTTTTGAGTGATATAACTAAGCCCAGACTGCCACCGTCATTCGGGATTTCCGTCTGGGTAGATTTTGGTCACATGCTAGGCAACATATAATCAAGAACAAGATAGAATTTCATTTCAGGCCTATTTATCAATTTTGTGGTGTATAACTTTCGCATTTTAGTACGTAATATTTATTTTGGATCTTCAAATTGTCTTTAAACTTAAAAGAAAATTGTTCTTTAAAAATTCACTGAAAATCGGTAGCCAAAATTATTTGTTTATTTTCGTGTTAACCTGTAATTTCGTCAGCCGCCGGCACCTTTTGTTGCTTCACAGAGAAAAAACACACGATACGAAATGTAATGATCGATTTTGTCCCCAATCTCACGCCATAACAGAAAAAGCTTTTGAACATCTGTAAACTCCGAGCGCTTCCGAGTGAGTGATATTTTTAATGAATCTTTGGATTGTTTTCAGGTTCAAGGACTGTAAATTACAATTTTATGAAAAAAGAAGGTTGTTCTCTTATTTCAGAGTGAATCCTCGCTGGCGCCGCTTGTTGAAACCAAAACGAATAAATATAAACTCTTATAAGATTATCATTGGCTTCTTTTTCACACCCCACAACAATTCTTAGCAACAAAGGTCGCCATTTCGTTTGCTTATTACTCGCCAAAAACTATCAAATGCACTCAAAAGCCTAAAATCGACAAAAAAGTTTACAGGAATCGACACATCGAGCGAGCTAGCGAGCGAGTACCATTTGCCACATCATATCTACAACTCGCTCTTGATTGCTCGCATGTGCGCAATCCATGAGTTAAAAATGTCAAGCACACGCTTTTATACTTCACAACGGCTAACAAGCATAGAACGACTACAATACTCCCTTTGAAACTGGATATGACTTTGTTTAACCTAACAAAGCCGAAAATTAAAGCAGGGCGTTCCAGCGGAATTTTTTTAAAATTATTAATAAGGGTACAAGCAGATTCATGATCAGTTACCGCAAACTCTCCATAAGAAATAATCAGATTACATTCCTAGGCTCTGTGTTCATAAAGTTATGACGCTCTTGAATATGCAAAATTTAAAGTTCTCCAACTGGTTCAACAAAAAAATTTGCTACGATTGCATAAACCTTGTCTTGCACTCCGCTATTACGAACACGAATTCGCGGTAGAACCGGAACACGGCCCCCCAAGTACAAGAGTTCGCTTTACAGTTCCTCCGCAAGAGAGCAACAAAGGCCGTTGACCTATTGCATCAGCAGCAATATTCCTTTCCCAGCTTTTTTCGGGCTCGAATAACTCAATCCTATCCCTCAGCCGACCTCCACACCACTGATCAATTAAATTGAAATTTCGGTTAAGGAAAGAACATTCCAGCCGTCTTCATCCGCGCTGGACTAACTTCACATTATCTCCTGCTTACCAAAATCAATTCAATTCAAAATTTAAGAAAGAATTATTTAAGGTTTTGGTCTGAAAAGATTATTCTAATGGATGTGAACCAACAAGCACACATGTACATTATTCCTAAACACAAAACAATTTTTAATGTTAGAGACAGTGAATAATTTCACGCCATTTGGATATAAAATCAAAAAATAATTATTTTCCTTTTGTCTATCTGTTATCCAACTTGGATCTGAAAGTTGCTTTTCATCCAAGGGTTTTAACTAGATTTATAACAAGACCTACCAAAATTTATAACCAGACTTGGCAAAGATGACTGAAATTAGTTAAAAGAATGGTTCCCCTGACCTTTTGAAACACCGTTTTGACGCAATTTATGTCAGTTCTGCTATTCTTTTACACAAATTATCAAAACTACGCATCGTAAAACTCTGACTTTAGCCCTGGCACTAGAGAAATTTAAGGGAGTAAGGCGGTCGGTCATTTCAAGCTACAATATTCGTTACATGTTCATTGTTGAGGCCTGCTTTACGGAGTTAAATACTTTTAAGTAAAAAAGGAAAATAGTCAACGCTGCTTCCAATCCAAAGGGAAATTTATAACCAGACTTAACAAAATCACAGAAAAACAATGTGATGTACATATACGGTCATATAAAACAAAGCAACAGACGAACCTTTTTAATTTTGTTATTTAGTATAGGTCTGGAAGCGGCAATTGTTCTTGCCCTTTTTATCGGTTGAACAAAGGATTGATTTTTAAGACCATGTAAACATCTGCCTCACTTAAATTAAACGATTGATTTCATAATTTAAAAAAAACGTAGTTGACCTTAGCTGACGTGAAGAGTAAAGGCGATCGGACATCTCAAGTTACAGTATTGGTTACCTTTTCATCGTTGAGGCCTACTTTACGGAGCTAAATTCTCTATAAAGATGACGTTTCGAGCGTTAGTCCTTCGTCAGCCAAGTCACGTTGTGAACTCAGTTGATAAAACCAAACCATCTGATTATGTAATCGTTTGTGTCCGTGTACCGCCCTCGAGGGTCTCTCCGCCTCTTTCTTTTTTATTTGTTTTTGACCTTGACTCTAGCAAAGCATTGACTAATTAAATAGTGCTTTGTCCAACTGGTATTCTAATTAAAAGAAGAAATGAAATTTGATTACAATCATTCATTAGTACACCTTCGTGTGACAAAATAGATTACTAACCAACAAATTGCTATAAGCAGTTATAAATCAAACAAAACGGAATCGAATGATTACTATTATGTTAAATGATTTGAAACATCTTCTAAATTTTACTGAAAGTTAAAGTTACAAATACACGCGCACTAAGCATGAACCAATTGTTAAATATTACATGATCAGGGTTCTCCCTAGTTTTCAGCACAACAGGTAAGGGACCTTTTCAAACCAGTGAAGCACATTTTCAGCTTCAGGTGGCTGGTCATTCTCAACTTCGTCATTTCCTAAAGCATACAGTACATCGCGCCTATCAAAAATTCACCATCGAAAAATTCATAATGTGAACGATATACCTTTAGGTTCAGAGATTGAACAAAACAAAGTAAAAAGTTGTTTGAAAGCATTATATTTGACTATGCCCTTTCCAAACTGCTTATAACGTAAACTGGTCTCCCTTCGATTTCGGGTAATATCTTTGGCGTCACTTACATGGCATATCGCTGGAAAATCAGCGGTGTCAGCTACGAATCGCATTGCTATGAAATCGAATCACATCGAATAGCTGAATTTGTGTTCTAATCGTCTCAAATTCAGAACTTTTACGCTGTTGAGAGATTTTATTTTCAAGGCTTCTTTCAAACCGTTGTCTGAAACACATTTTAAGTAGAATTTCACGATGAAGACTACCTTGTCCCTACGTGTCCGTTATACAGATGGCGATTGTAGAGCTGTCAAGGCACTTATTTTTGGTAATTGACTGCTTTTCCATCGCTAGTACGTAGCCTTTGTTTTGTTAACCACTAAAGCTCTTGTAAAGCTTACCAGCCACTCTTCGTGACCTCTTGTTACTGGACAGAAACGACAGCATTGTTTGCTGCCGTTTCATCGTGGAAACTGAACAACTAAACGACACCACATTTTCACGTGCAGAGAACTGCCAAATGTCATGAAAGCCTGCGAAAAATCACTCTTGCTTCGAAATTCTTGAGGATACAAGCTATTGGACATTACACTTGTTTAAAAACCCGAAAAGTAAGGGGGTCATTATACATACTAGGTGAGCAAACTCTTAATATAGCTTGCTTACCTTTACAATGTCTGCCATCTCCCTGATATCCGCTATTGCACGAGCACTCATATGATCCAGAAATATTTGCACACGAAGCTGTCTGATGACATAGGTACCCTGTCCATGAACACTCATCTTGATCAAAGCACGAGATACCGTTACCATAGAAACCAACTTTGCACTAGCACAGGTAAGATCCCTCAGTGTTGCTGCAAACTGCGTTTGTATCACAGGGCTCACTTCCGCGTTCGTCCTTATCGCAGCAGTACTTTCCGTTCCCATAATCCATCAGCGCACTGACAACTGAAAGAGCCCTGAGTATTTATGCAACGTCCGTTCGAGCTGCATCTTGATTTTCCGTCTCTGCACTCATCGATGTCTAAAAAGTATTGAGGTAAGTCGTTTATAGTAAAAGTAGAAACATTGGTAAACTCCTGACATAAAGCAAGCTCCCGGATTACGTGCAAATCTAGAGTGTGCTGAAACATTATTCCATACTTTGATAGATGGCAGACCCTGGAGCCATGAAAGGCAAACGCTTTTGATCTTGTTACTGTACCTTTTTTTGCTTTGGATCTTGTTACTGACATGTGAAAGAGTCACGCACCTGCCAGTTTCGTTTTGAACACTGATCATCTCTGAGGTAAAATCTGATAATTACTGGCTAATTACATGCATTATAGTGACATATTCACCTCCTGATGAAATAATGTTAAAGGGAAGTGTCGAAAAGGGTAGCTTGAAAAATTATTACTCTAACACGAAATAAAGGGGTGTTCGGGTGGGACTTTTGGGACCATGAGATGAAATTGTGGATTTTGTTCTTACCGTTGCAATGCCGTCCATTTCCGAAATACCCTCTTTTACAGAAGCAGCTGTATAAACCTTGATTGTTTAGGCATTCGGCATGATCGCTGCATAGATGAGTTCCAGCGCTACACTCATCATCGTCAAAGCATAAACGGTCCTCCTTTCCATGAAAACCTTCATTGCACGAACATGTATATGAACCTTCCTTGTTGTTGCAAGTTGCTGTGGAACTACAGTCCCCAAAACCGTTCAGACATTCGTCAACATCCTGACAAACTTGACCATTAGCTGAGAATCCAGAATTGCAGGTGCATTCGTAAGATCCCAGAGTGTTAGTGCATTGTGCGTTTGCATCACACTTGTGAGTCTCATCCCCACACTCATCAACGTCGTGACACAAGTGTCCATCACCCAGGAGGCCTGATCTACATGAACAGTTATAGGAACAAACAGTGTTTCTGCATTGTGCAGAAACACTGCAATTATGGATGTATGAATTAAACTCATCTACATCTTGACATAATGTTCCATTTTTTTCGAATCCTTCAAGACAGGGACAATGAAAAGAACCAATGCTGTTTTGGCAAACTTGGTTATCACTACAGCTGATGATTCCAGAGGTGCATTCTTCCACGTCGAGACATGAAAACCCATCCCCTCCGAATCCTACGAACGGATATGTGCAACTGTAAGAGCCGAGGGTATTTTTGCAGACAGCACCAAGGCTGCTGTTATTTGCACTCGTTTGGCACTCATCAATGTCTTCGCACAACGATTCGTTTCCAAGGAACCCCTCTAAGCAGCTGCAAGTGTGTGAGCCCATGGAATTAGAGCAAATTGCGTTCTTGCTACAAGTATGGGTCTTGAGCTGGCATTCATTTGCAAGTGGCGTTTCCATCACAAAATGGCTTCTGACTGCAGTTAAAACTTGTCGCTAGTGTTGGTGCATCTGCTAAGGAGAGACGAGACGGATCAATATTTTTATACCGAGCTTTAAAATTCTCCACGGCTGATGAACTTTTTTTTTATTATCTCAGCGAATTTTCTGGAGACCCTACATAAATTATTCAGAAGATCGAACCGAGAGACAACAGCTTTACATCAGTACGTGCAAATTGCTTATCGAAGTATTTTCTTGTTCTCAAGTTCACAATCGAAGATAAGCTTAAACTCCTGATATCCATCGCTGTTCTGTTTGTATCTTTAACAATTAAGTATTGGTGAATGAGCTAGTTAATTTCTGTAAGAATGTTGAGCAACTCTCACGCCAACAGTTACATTTTCTGAGATTTATTCTACATCAGAACAATTTTCCTGTGATTGCTGTATTCAATCCTTTTACCCAGCGATAAAAATAATAGTTTCCTACACTCACCGTTATTTTGGAGAGATTGTTTATTCAGTGATATAAGTTCATATGCCACAACAAAACAAGTAGCCACGATGAACAGAATAGGAAGTCCTGCCTTCCAATTCGACTTGATCGATCCGCTTATAGCTGTTACGAAGAATACTTCATGCTTCGATTCTCTCCCTTGATGAGTCGCATTTATTGCATTCAGTAGTTTGCTAATACATGGTATTATCATGTCTAACGAATATTCAAAAAGGAGTTGAACGTACAAGTGTCGCTATCCAAATGTAAATGACTTCAGCATATTTGAGCTCTTTCGGTTTCTGAGAAATCTACTGGGGAACCCCCTACTGCTACTACGTATTAGCCTCTCATTGGTTATTGAGCTGACCATGTAAACAATTTTACCCTTTTATACTTTGTTAGTGACGACTGATCCCCCTCGGTTCCCCCTTAAAACCATATAATGCCATCTAACAAAATCCTCCCCCTCTCCCCCGTCCTGATGATAAGTAAAGACTGGCCCCTTAGTTAACGAACCCATCCCAATAATGAAACCACGCCGAAAAAAATCCTAACAAGGAAAAATAAATGATAGACTGAACTTGATCGCTTTAACTCACCAGTTTGAAAAGTCATTGAAACAGGTACATGCCCCACAAACCACACACAGAAAAATGCCGTCGTAATGTGTCGCTGTACTGATTAACCTGTCTTCATGTGTCAGTTATGGCTCGTTTCTTAAGAATCTTTTCCCTGCTCATTTAATCGAGAAGAATATAAACCGATACATCCCTGAGAACCAATGCAATCATCATCCCCGGGGTTCCCTTCCCACCACTTCATCTACGTTTTTTTTAAGCTACCCTACTCAGGCCATTTTTCTGCTTTCACTCAAAAAAAGATCCGCCATTTTATTAAGCGCTATTGCAATGACTTGGATATTAAGCTGGTTTTCTCTTCCTTCAAAATTGGCAACTTGCTTGGTGTGAGAGACCCTGTCGCTGACGGGCTCCGTTCACGTGTGGTTTATAAGTTTGTATGTGCTGGCTGTAATACCTGTTACGTCTGTGAAACTTGCCGGCAATTTTCCACAAGTGTTAGAGAGCACTTATTCAGCGACGGGGCCTCTCATACTTTCAAGCATCTGAAAGATTCTGCACATTGTAGCGCTTTGTGTTCAGCAGATAACTTCCATGTTTTAGATCAAGCCTCTACCGGTTTTCACCTCAAGATAAAAGAGGCTATTCATATTCAAAGAGAATAATCATTCTTGAATTAACAATTACACCATGTAAATCTAAAACTATCCTTTTCATTCTCACACTTTCATGCTTTACCGCTTTTGTTGTTGTTACTATTTATCATAATTAGCAATTTTCTACTTATTATACAATTCAACTTCCAACGCTTTGTACATAAATTAACTGAAGATGACAGAAGTTTCTGTCGAAACATGTATTTCAGACATAAAAGTTTTGTCGCTTTCTTTAAATTCTTGACTTGCCTGCTAATATCAAGACCCTAATGCAAATTATCTTGTAAAAGCTCAGTCACAGCTTAATTCATTTGCAATATTTTAATTTCTTACAACTTAACATAAAAGGGCAAGAATGCAGTAAATCAATTAAGTTTGAATTATCACGAGCATAAAATATTTGGTCCTCCCTAATTTTCATGTATTTCTAGTAATACATGAGTCTTTTCTGAAACTAATTTCCAACACTCTTATCATCTTATTTTAGAGGAATACAGAGGTTGACTTTTTAGATCAACAAGGGGGATCCCTTCAATTTTCCTTTGACACACTGTCGTCAGCGTGCAAATGCAGAAACATGGTTCAACAAAACATTGTGCTACGAGCCAATTGATCTGCAGGCAGATAACAGAGTTTCACTCTAACGAAGGGCTGACGCTCGAAACTTCAACCTTTAAACTCTTTACGGTGGCCAATTTACGTTTTCAACTCAGTTGATAACCCCAAATTACCCCGTTATACTCTCCTACCGACGCAGCACCACAGTTTCTTTAGAAACTTACCCCCTTTATGCAGACAAATAAGCCTGCAATCAAATTATTTATTGAAGCAAAGTCATATTAAGGATAACGCTGGTAGTGGAGAGTGTTTTAATAAGGAGCCAAGAAATGTCGTAAAATTGAATGCACGCCAGAGAAAACATTCCATCTATGCATACGTGATACCTCGAAGACGCATTTAGCATATATATTAATGTGCAATTTTAAAAAATCGTCCACGATACCGAAAAAAATAACAACTTACGATTTGTGGCCAACTGTGTTCTTGAATTGAATCCTCAGCAACAGTAACAGCGTCAGCAAAACCGACTAACACGGTGTATGCAAACACGGCAGTTACAGATTTATCTCTAATAATTGCGAATTTATTTTCGATGAAAATATTTTATTACGTAATCTTTGAGGGTATAAGGCAGCCCACAAGAACAAAGTGAACAGTCACAAAGTCTTGGTTCTGTTTCTGACTCATATTAGGAATGCACAGTTCCCTAACAGCTAATAGGCTAAATCGAAACGAGTCAGCTAGTCGTCCATTTAGCAACTAGATTTACAACACAATGGTCTATATCATGCTTGAGGCATATTCTCAGTCATATAAAAAGAAAGGATCTAAAGATAAACATGTCTGTTGGCACGTTTCTGTTTTAATCAGGAGGCGAGGATAGGAAAAGGAACCCGAAAAATGTATAATTTTTGTGGGTAAAAATGCAGTAGTCTGCATATTCTCTGGTCATTATGCTTTTTGTGTAGTTTTGTTCCCTGTAATTAGACAGGAAGCGTTCTCGGGAGAAACACAACTTAGTTACACATCAAAAAGGGCGCTCCCTGCTCCGTGTAAAAAATGACCTTGAAGTTTTCTTTTGAACAGTATTTCCTCAATCCCATACTAAACATAACTTTTATACCTAATATGTCCACTGGTTGTGGCAACGCCTCCATCCTCAAATGTAAATGTCGTTTAAAACGACATTCCAGCTGAAAATGCTTGCTTAAAATCGTCGGGCATGTCGGCAGGGTATTTAGTGAAGCATCTGTTTCCATATTTGAATGCTGACAACAGTATGTCAAAGAAAAATGGAAGGGGTCCTCCTTTGGTGACCCAAAAAGTCGACCTCGGGGTTCCTCTAAAAGAAGATAATAAGAGTATGTTAAAAACTATATTCAAAAACGGCTGTATGACCCTTGATTGTTAAGGCATTCGGCATGATCGCTTTTTAGTGGGGCGTCAGTGGTCCAGTGGTTAGTGCGCTGGACTCTGGGTCGAAGGGCCCGGGTTCAAGTCCTACCAGGGGCATGTCGCTGTATCCTTAAGCAAGATGCTTTACCCACTTTGCTTCGTCTCTCGGATAAGACGTAAAGCCGGAGGTCCCGTCTCACAACCCTTCTATGTTACAAATAAATTGTGGGACGTAAAAGAACGCACGCACTGTTCGCAAAGAGTAGGGCACGTAGTGCCCGGTGTTGTGGTCTATCTCGATTTGTGCCGTCGTAGGTCTGGGTGGGTGAGGTGTGATCACAAGGGACTGAAGCGGCTGCCAGAGGCGCCTTTAATATGCTGACGTCCGATCTCACCTCTCTGGTTCCTCTGCAATTCAGCCCTTGGCTGCAAGTGAGGAAATTGGCACCATTCATCTCATCTCATCTCATCTGCATAGATGAGTTCCAGCGCTACACTCATCATTGTCAAAGCATAAACGGCCATTTCCATGAAAATCTTCATTGCACGAACATGTATATGAACCTTCCTTGTTGTTGCAAGTTGCTGTGGAACTACAGTCACCAAAACCGTTCAGACATTCGTCAACATCCTGACAAACTTGACCATTACCTGAGAATCCAGAATTGCAGGTGCTTTCATAAGATCCCAGACTGTTGGTGCATTGCACGTTTGCATCACACTTGTCAGTCCCATCCTCACACTCATCAACGTCGTGGCACAAGCGTCCATCACCCAGGAAGCCTGGTCTACATGAATAGTTATAGGAAGCAACAGATTAAGTTGATGAGTGTCATTTTCAAAATGACAAAGTGGCTGAAACAGATGATAAATGTTGTCAAAACCAAGACTTAATTCATGATAATTGGATGAATGATTGCCGTCAATGCGGTCAAGTCATTAATCATGATTTTGCGACTATTGTCATTAAAGTTATAGGAAAACAAGAACCTACCGCAGAAAATGTCGTGTGAACAAGGTTTTGAATAATACGATTGATAATTACCATATCATGTTAAGCTACGACGAATTAAACAAGTTTTACTGTTTATTTCAAATAGCAGAACAGTTCCATTACTTTGGAACTCTTTTTCTCAATTTGGCCCTTCCGAGAGCCAAGAAAGATTTATAAATTTGGCCCCAAGAAGGTGCAATGCTACAAATAACTGATTATTAGCCCAAATTGTCAAGGACAGATGGAAGTTCCGTCACGACTAGAACGATACAAGGACGTAAGGATTCGGGAGTGTAAATGGGTACTTCGGTAAAACCAGATCTTTAACGCGGATGA